ATAGCAACAGCAAAAACTACAACCAACAACAACAACAAAAAAACAGCAACAACAACAATAACAAACAACAACATTAAACCACGACAAGCCACAACAAACAACAACAAACAACAACAAAAAACAACACACATCAACACAAACAGCAAAGATCGACAAATAACAACAACAAACAACAAAGATCGAATAAAAAAATCACAAAAACAACAGCAAACACAACAACAACAACAACAACAACAACAACAACAACAACAACAACAACAACACCAACACCAACACCAACACCACCACCACCACCAACAACAACAACAACGACGGCAACAACAACAGCAACAACAACAGCAACAACAACAACAACCACACCAACAACAACAAGAAACAACGACAGCGACAACGACAACGACAACGTTGCAGAGTGTTTAAACCAAGTTATAAAAAGTTGTCGACACTTATTTACAAAAAAGAAAATTATTGGAATTAACAGAAATTTGTTTTTAACTTTTTGAGAAATCATGTTAACTTCCAAAGATGTTGTATAACTTCCTTATATCTACGCAAAGTCTGTAAAGTCTTTTATCCTGAAGCGTGCTGTCTCCGTGCTTTGCCACCAGCCGCGACTACAGATGCTATGAAGGATGCTAAACCTCGTTCAAACCACCTTAAAAACCACCATGTTCCTTTGGTTAAACCAGGTGAAACCTCGGTTTTATCATTGGTTTGACTTATAGTGTTACCATGTTTTTACCTAATGATGTCCATCACACACTCCACAGATCCACAGCCGCAGCACCTCTCAGCGCGGCTGGGCGCATGGTCGACATGGTCCAACGACGCCAGCGCTTCGCAGGCCACGACCTCCACAAACACGATTATCGCCAGAAGATGGATTTACCCTCTGGGAAACTAACGTATCTATGGACAGTCACCATTTTCTAAAAGTAAATCGACCATACATGTTTTTTTTTGCAGAAACACATTTACAACCGGCCCATATTGTGATCAAACTGAAACCTGGCTGATAAATTAATTGTTATTCTTATTGGACAAAAATCACCTGGAGATGGGTGTGAAGAAGTTTAAGGTGAGTTTGTTTGCAAACAAACAAACATGGTGGGTTTACAACAGTTCAACCACAATGATAATAGAATCGGGATCAACAAACCAACCTTTGCAAAGGGATTTTCCATGGTTGGGAGGACGTGGTTGGGAGATGTTGGGAGGACTTGAACTAAATGAGCAACCCCAAGGGATGAAAAACAACGACTTTGGAGATAGGCTGATGGGCCCCGCTTCGTCGACATTTTCCAAAAACGAAATTGGCATCCAATCCGTTCCATGTCAAATATCCGCAGCAAAATATCCCGGTAAAGGGCCGTCTTGGGAGCCAAGATAGCATGGTAAATTGGCTGCCCTGCTTCTAAATTCGACCAGCAGAAAGACAGTATTTCTTTTTGGAGGATAGCTCATTCCTACTTGAGGCATCTTGAAATATACCTTGTGTGGCTAGGCACTGTGCTGACGGTGTAGGACGGTGTAGTACGGTGCAATTTGGGGTGTTGATCAGCTTGTTATATCCCTGCTGATGATCTACAATCGACGGATCATGAATCATGATGATTGATTTGGACAGAAACATGTTACACAAACCTGGGATTAATAAACCATAAAACATATAACAAAACATTAGACATATTTGGTACGATACCGGCAAACCGTCATTGGAGATGGTTGTGAGGTCAGTGCTGATGATAATCCTTCAATCCATGCTGTCACAAGCTGATCTCCCACGATACCTGCGACCAGAATCAGCAAGCCACGCAGTAACTATCCTACATGTTATCAATTTATAGCAAGGAAAGGTTAAGCAACAAGCCATCATACACCGCAGATTTACCACAACCTACCAAATCTACCAACCACTTGGAAAACAACATACAATGCAGGAACCATGGCTCTAAACCTCGCAGTTTGCAGATCATGCCAGATCTGCTGTCAGACCCCAGCCGGGGTGCCCTGCCAATGTCCACACCAGGGTGAACCTGAGAGAAATCCCGCAGAATTAAGAGCATAACCGGCCGAGGGGGGATACAATACATATATATATATATGTATATAAATAATATCAATATATATATATATATATATATATATATGGATTTTTTTATCCCCTCGGAAACAAATACCTACTTTTTTCTAGGTAGAGGAAAAAACAAAAGTTATTTTTTCAAAAGAAACCTGAGTGCCCATAAGCAAATTTAAATTACACCCAGAAACAAAAAGTGGTTGATTCCATCTTGGCAGATTCAACACATGATCACGCATCACGCGCAATACTAAGTTGCACCAACAGCCAATGGTATGGAGCCAAATCCCTGTGGATCCAGCACATGCAACCTTTTTTCTAGCCATGCAACTTTGCCTTCACAAAGACGGCAAATGCTGCAACTAAATACTGCTGAAGAGCCCGTAGGCAGGTTTTCCTAATATCTTACTCTTCTGGAGTGGCGCGAAGTTTTTGCCACTGTATTTTCATCCATTTGAGTTCCAAAACATCATTGGATTGCAACATGTACGTGCACTTCCCCCTTTGAATTTCACCTCCAGCATGATGTGGTGGATTTTTTTTCGGACCCTGGGGAGAGTAATTAATCAAGTTCCGGAAAAACAAACGTGAAAATGCCGAACAAAAGTAACATAAAATTCACTGAAAAAACATCTCTATATAATTATTTCACAAATTTAGTCATAATTCAATTATGGGTAAATTACAAGATTTTATGGGTAAATTACGGTTTGATTACGGTTGCGGATAATTACGTGTACTTTTATGTTTTGCAATTGTGCGTTGGTTATTGTAAATGATGGGCAATAACGAAACTACAAACTAAAAACAAATCTTTTCTCATATCATACGGGTAAATTATGGGCATTTTTCGTTCAAATTACGGATTTGTTACGGCTGGATAAATTGATTACGGATTTCGGTGGGATTCTGGGAAAGATGGAGCAGATGGAGCTTCGAAGTGATTTTTCATGGTGGGAACCTAGAAATTCAACAAGGTTCCATTCATGTCCGTTTCGGGACCCGAACAGCAACAGTTTCGGAAACAGCCTGCCAGAAGACACTGTGTTTTAAAGTTTGTTTGGGTAACAACCGCCAGCAGGCGGTAGGATATGGAAAGTTGGTGGTAATCTCCCGTGATGAAATGCATCTTCTCACATCACATTTTATTGGGGAATTATTTCCTTTGATGGAATCTTGAAACTTATCACTTTTCACTTATCACCCTATAGATTGATATGTGACATTGCATCAAGTATTTGCTAGTAATTGAAAATGGTTCTTCCCCGGGACCCTTCTTTGGATCACCGGTTGCCAAGTGAAATGCATGTGAAATGCATGCAGTGTTTAAAAAATCTCTCCACTGAAACCTTCCAAATAGTCTTGATATAGGGGATATGAAAAAAATACAGTTTCTTTGAAAATAGATATCTATTTTTGGCCCAGATGATAAATAGATATCTTTTTCGCACCAAACAATAGGTAAATGTGTCAGCAGGGTATATGTATAATCAACATACCAAAAGCATTGAAGACAAACATGGGGCTGTACCATCCGATTAAAAAACATATGCAGAAGTTTAAACAGTGTGAGGGTTGTGAAAATGATCATGTATTTGGAAAACAGCGCAGGACTTGCAAATTTGTGAAATTATCCCGAACCAAGGCTGAAGACAAATGGAGCCTGATGGTATAATGTCTTAATTTTACAATAAGCCGAACAGATGTTTTTGAAACCCCATCCCACCCGACTGATAAAACTGAAAAAATCAAAAGTCTGAGGATATGACTGGCAAAACCAAACAAAGTAAGTACTGTGTTGAAAACCAGCACTCCCTGATCAGTTCCCCCAATTCTCGCGTGGATCGTTTATTCACTATCTGTTTAAATCACTGACCACTATCTGGAGGATCATCGCAATGAGTAAATGGCTAGTAGCTGGGATTAAAAACCGTTCAAAAATGGGATAATGGATTTAGGGGGCTTTCTAGCCAGGGTTGTTAACCACTTACTAAGTATAGGATGATCCTCCACGTATTTATTTAGCTGATAGAGTTTGTTTTTTACCAGAAGTTCTTACCCCATACCACTGATGGTGCTGGTGCATCCGGCCCGCAGTTGTTGATTTTCTGTCAAGTCAGGCAAACATACCATATGCACCGCACAGTGCCTAACATGACACCAACATTGGAACGGGTCATGCCATAGATATGTACAATGTACCCTTTTTCGTGAGAAAACGGCGAATCATCAACACCAAGTGTCACCAACTATGTGGGCGTCACATCAGCGTATCAGGGTGACTAAGCCATTCCACCCTCCATCTTTCTGTGTTGGTTAGTAAATATTTCCAACTATAATTGATATATATATATATAACAAACAAACATGTGTCAAACAGGTGGCATATCAATCAGCTCCAATGAATCAACACATCAACAAATTGGTGATCCCTTCTAAACCAAAGAATGATTGGTTCCCGGGCGATCTCGGCACCCATCCCTGAGCAGCCGCACGTCTTCATTGCGTAATACGCGTTGCCCCCGCGGGGTTCCGCCGCGCGGCTGAGCCCATCCAATGCGTCAACCCTTTCCCAAGTCGGGACAACTAAATGAATGGGAATGATTGGAAATCATCGACTCAAAGATCATCAATTCATCTTTGGCATTCTAGCAATATTTTCCGCTTGACATTTACGCGTGCAACAGGGCAACGGGTACGACCTATGATGGCGTCATCGCTAAGATGTCACTGGGCGTATGTGTTTTTCAAAACGTAGCAAAACCCCCAAATGTTTTTGCATTTCCGACCGATTCCAACCCGCTACAAACCGTGAATCAACAATACTGATTCTTAGTTATATAATCGGGCATAACCCACTGGAATAGGAGGCAGTTCAGCCGTGCGGGCATTGTAATTGAGGATCCCTCAGCATCACATCCTGTAAGCTCTTGGTCCAGGTTTCAAAGTCTCCTGGAGGTGCCGCAGTCCCAATTTCGACCAAGACCCGCAGACCTTGACTACAGAGGATTTTCCTTGAAATGAAACCACACCTAACACTCAGCACCAGCCAATGATATGACACCGCAATACCGTAATGCATGGATCTTCGAACACCTCTGTCTCAGAACGATGCACCATGAATGTAAGCAAATATGACCATGAGGCATCGTGCGTCAACATCAATTTTTGCCACATCATGTGCCAATTTCAAATTTGGCGGCGGACTGCGCCAAAAACCCACTATCCACACGTTCCCGCGCAAACACCCACAAGGACACCTACACATTCCTCACAATTGCAAAGAAATGACTGAATTTCAGCTAGAACCCTGGAACAGTAGATTAAACATATCCGACTATACATGGCATATACTTAGATGTTTTATGATGTTTTCATATATTCACATATTTAAAGACACATTCAACACACGAAAAACAATAAGTATGTATGCACATGGATGCCGATGCTGATATGGTCGTTGGTTTGCAGGAAACCAACCGAAAACGGGCTAGCTCCCAGGAACACAGGGGTGATTCCCCAAAATGGTGGTAAGGACTTCCTAGGACAGAGGTATACCCCGAATCCACTTGATAACTTTGGGGCATATCTGGTTTTCAGACACATCACAACCAGGCATCCATCGTGCCTTCTGCTTCCTCTGCTTCCTCCACTTCTTCCTCCTCTGGGATCTCCACGTCGGCCCACGAACCAATGCGGTGATCCAACTGTGCGGCGCCCGCCTGCAGGCACGGGCTCTATCCCACACTTGCCTAAACAAAATGCCCGGTCTGGCCAATATGTTTTTGGGAATTGATTCATTTTTGGGAGTTCCGTGTTTTTTGCTTCGGAGTGGGGGTCCCATCTGTGTGGGTATGGTGGAGTAGTTTTTTCTTGTGAACATTGTACATACTGGTCAGGCCGTGTCAAAGACGCGCGTGGACCAATGCAAGCCTTGCCCTCCAAGATTCATGCAGCCACCAGCGCGGGAACAACCCCTGGCTACAAAGTCAAAAAAGATGTGCAACAACCTTTACAAACAAAATCAGCGCATGTCTCTATGCTGGCGCTCACATGTGAAGATGCCTCCTCGCGCAGGTCATGGAACGTTTCGCAGGAATTATTTAAAACCGGTGTAGTTGCACATTGCTATTGCGAACTCGCCTCCTCTGACGGTGTCCCGCAATACGATGCCAGAGAAGCAGAAAGTTGTGAATTTACGCATGCAAAGGCTGAAACGAACCACTTGCCAAACACGGGGTTAAACTCACTGCCCATTCACCCAGATACTGCCGGCATGTGCCACAGAACTGTGGACCAAATCTTTCTGATTGCCCAAGAGTCCAAGATAGATGGAATATTGAAGTGGGATCCAAGGACAGTTTTGACAACAAGACTCAATGAAGACTTGGTGGATTATTTTGTCCCTACCTGGAAGATACGAAGTCATTAATTCGTGATCTTTATCCCAGGGTTTTCTGCTTTAGAAACATTATAGTCACCGTAAACCAAGCACCCGAAGAGGATTGCACTGTACCTTGCCCAAAGCATGTTACATAATCATCCCGGGAAGTGTAAAACCTTCCTGCTCAGCTGCTCAGTAGGTAAATGATTACACCAGGGCGTCATGGCTGCGTTCCATGGGCTTGCTTCAGCTGGAATACTTGAAATCAAACTATGGAGGTTTCCTAAGATGGTGGACCCCCAAATCATCCAAATTACAGTAGACCGTTTGAGTATTGAAACCCATGGTTTCGAGGATCTTTGGAAAACCCCAAATCAAAATATGAATCATCCACAGATAAGCGCCTTGCCATTGCAGCCTCGTTCCAGGGAACATGAAAACACTTTTCAGAAATCAAGTGGGTCGTTACAAAATATGACCAGGCCAAGGACGACGACGACGACGACGACGACGACAACAACAACAACAACAGCAACAACAACAACAACAACAACAACAACAACAACAACAACAACAACAACAACAACAACAACAACCACAACCACAACCACAACCACAACAACAACAACAACCACACCAACAACAACAAAAAACAACGACAACGATGACAATGATGATGACGATGATGATGATGATGAGGATGGTGGTGATGATGATGATGATGACGACGCTGGTGTTGACCTGAACATTCCTTCGATCAATTATTTTTGGTAGTTTTTGAGTATGACCTAAAATGACCCAGTTTTCAGAATCTCGTCTAGTCTAATTCTACTAGTTTGCCTGGTTTTGCTTCCTAGTGGCCACACTATCACCACAATTGACATTTTGAATGTGACTGAACATGGCTTGCATCCTGGCTGCGTCCCAAGGACATGCCAGGCCATTCTCATATCCCGAGCACCAATGCATATAAATGCACATAACTGCGCCCAAAAATTACCCGCAAAACGCAAAAAATCCGCAAAACGCCCGGAAAAACCCGCAAACGCCCGCAAATCCAAGAATCTGGTAAATTTGTATAATTTTGGGAGCGCGCAATTAAACAGAAACCAACTTGGATGTGCGGCTCCATATTTTGAAAGCAAAATACTGGTGAGAAGACTGGGAGGAAGGCCATGCCGATGGGAAACACAGCCATGACATACCACGCCTAACTTTTTGGGGAAACGCGTATCGACCATAAATTTGATGAAACGCCTGGTTGTGCAAAACGACTGATATTTTTTAGGAGTTGGAAGGCCCATGGATTATGATGATGACGACGACGACGCCGCCGCCGCCAGCGACGACCACAACGACGGCGACGACGGCGACGACGACGACATGATGATGATGATGATGGTGATGATGATGATGATGATGATGATAACGTGCCGGTGATGATGATGGTGGTTAGGTGCTTGATTTTCAGGGTGGAACTGTTAACTATATAATTTACCAGAGGGTGCTGGTATATGATTATATATGTCATATCCAACATAATAACATGGTTTGTCATATCCAATGGTGTACACCCAACGATTCAATAACTATTTCATGGAAAAACCTGGTGTTTACCGAAGGCTAACCTGGTTTCATCCCCAACAGCCACGGTGGCACCTCAGCATCCTCCGCCGCGCCGGCCTCTGGGAAGGGCTCCACATAGCGCGCCTCAGCAGCGTCCTGGAAACAGTCGGGAGGCGGCGATGGTCAAAAGCCTGGGAAAAAATGGGGAGAAAATGGGGATTCACCAACCAAGTGATCTGGTTGGTGGTTCATATATGGTTAATATACTGTTAATAATGGTTAATGTTAATTGTTATTATATGGTTAATGATGGTTCATAATAATCTGGTTGGTGGTTGACCTACCCCTCTGAAAAATATGAAAGTCAGTTGGGATCATTATTCCTAAGATATGGAAAAACAAAGTTCATGTTCCACACCAACAACCAGTGATTCAAGAATCAACACATATTGTGATTTTTTTGTTGGGACCCCAAAACAAGTGAATTAACCATCCAGAAACAGAAATTCTATGGAATTGATCAACAAAATATGGCATGCTTTAACCAACGAAGATTGCGCTTATATATATATATATATATATATACATGCATATGTATATTATGTAACCACCCACACCATCCCACAACTGCGATTTAACTAGAAACAATGCAGATTTGATATGAGTTCACAGAACATGACTTCACCATGTTCCATGAGGAGTTTTCTCCAGCAAAACAAAGGAATCCACGATCGAGTTACGCATCAAAACATTGGGATTTCACAGCCCAAAACTAGGTCTTGCCATGGGTCACTCAATTGGGGGGGGGGACAAAAAACGGTTTTCATTCTCATGAGCATGGCGCGTTCACGCATAAGAATGAGGAGATTGTAACCACCAAAAGAGTGGAATTTAACCAACACACAAAATGGCATTTAACCAACAAAAACATCCAAAATGGGGAGATGACGCCAATGTGAAATACAGCGGAATAGTTGAGACCGCGATGAAAAAAAAACATACTAAACCAGGGTTGTGCGAGCGGTATTCAATATTATGATATATTCGAGGGTAGGATTGCAATTTTTACCAGAACCAGAAACTAAGAATTCACCAAGCCAGCCCGAAACGTCTCAACTTGGAGTTCTAACGCAATGTAAACCACCAACCAGGAAATGGACATGTTGTAGATATTTGATGACGCAAAGGCCTCTTTGTAAAATGTTGACCTTGCTGCTAGACATGTTGGGCTCTGAAAACTTCTCCCCATATACCCATTGATTGCCGCAGCTGTTTCCGCCGATTTTTTCATCGCGTCTCTGTAGTGACCGCAGGTTTCAGAGAGAGCCTTGACATCTGTTCACACAAAGTACAGCCATTGTTGCGTAGTTCATTATAGTTTATGACAGCTCCAGAAAGTGGTTAAAAATGGAAACCTGAAAAGTTGGGAACACATCGCATCTACACGTGGAAATATCGTACGTACATTTCGGCATTTTTTGGGGGGTTACGAGACATTAGGGTTGACCTACACTTGGGACCGTTTTCACAGAGTCCTACCGTTTGTGACTAGATTGTTGCACTTGTCATTGCCTTGGTTATCTTGGTTGAAAGGGAAAGTTGCAGGAAACCTTCAAAATTAATGATGAAAACAATGGTTTGCTGGATATGCTCCCTTCAATGCTCCCAATCGATTGTGTGAATCCCAGCTGCTGTCACTCATGATCAGCAACGGTACAAGCAGCCGATGCGGTGCCAAGTCGGAGCAAAATATGTGCAGATGAGGATGGATCAAACATGTTTCATCTCTTGTCAAGGCTTTAGCTTGCTGAAAACATGATTCAACATCAAAAATCAGGATTTAACATGACTTAACCATAAAACATAGGTATTTAATTGTTTTAAGCATCACAAAGAAGGATGTTTACCAACAAATATCGGGTATTTTACACGGGCTTTATATGATTTAACCATTGAACATGAGGGCTCATCGTGGTTATCAAACAACTCAACTCAACTGGGTATGTTTACAAACGAACCATGGGTTCTCAACGGGCAGAAACTGGATCATCACCATAGACCGGTCGGTGGCAGTTATGTTTTTCCAGATTTTATGGTACTGTTTTTAATAAGGAAGATGAGGAGAATCCATGGGAAAATGATGGTCTAATAATATGGTATAATGATGTTTTTGCGTCTGGAGATTCTGAATGATAGACCATGTGACAGAGTGGGCTTTCCAAATTTTGCGACAACTGCAAGTCATATCCGTCATATCCAAATATAAAGGAGAGGCCCAAACCACAGAATTCTTGTTTGGCCTGGGCTTAGTTAATAATCCCCAACTACTGTAGGTAGCAAAAGTGGCAAAGCCCCCTGGAGTAGACAATCAACCAGAGCCTCTTGAAATCTCCGAGGCTTCTGCCATGCTCGACACCGACTCAGCTACCCTCTCAGCCACCCAAGCGCTGACCGCTTCCCTGAAAGGCAGCGAAGTGATTGGCCTCGCGAGGTTTTTTGCAAGCGGGGAATCCCAGTGCCTGACAGGTCCACTGGGTCAACTCTAATGGAACTGGTCAAAAAAAAATGTCATGGGATGTAAACCATCATTTTATGACATAAAGGGTGTCTGAAAATGGGGATAAACTTGATTGAACTATTGTTTGATCATACGGCATATTGTTACTAATTGGTTCATTATAGTCTGCGATATACAAGGGATCCATCACCAACATTCCAATAATGATATCCATTTAAGGGATGACTTTGACCATAATCACTCATTTAACATCACATTCACCAACTAACTAGGTTATTAACTGGCAATATGTAGGGATCAACTGACAATAACACTTGGTTCAATAGTATAATAGCAACAAATCGATTGGTATACAAACTGCTGCTACTAATATATATGTACATATATTTTCTAACAGTCTATGTATATAAATATATATATATATATACATGACATTACGTGTGTATATATGTATTATGATATATATATATATATATCATATATATATAGTAATCACATCCTGCCTTTCGTCACTGTAGTGGGATGGCTTTCCGGGAAAAAACGGCCCCTCGACTAGCCGAGTCGCAGGTGCTCGAACATCGCGTGCTGGAGCTTCCTAAGTGATCCGTCCCTAGCAGTGTTCAAGTGTCACATCGAAAAACACATCCAAACATGCTGGGTAGATTGTCCATTGAAAAAACGAAACATGCCTAAAGTTGCCATATATCTGGGGAAATTATAATCATTCACTAACCTGAAATGTTGGGCTAACTTAGGGATACTTCCAGGAAATCCTCAGCATGATCAGAGTGAGAACGACTTTTTAACAATGGGAACTTCACCAATGGGGATTTAACCACTAGAATCACAGGGAAAAAATTGGATTTTGACGGCTGATTCATGGGATTTCATCCCTTCAAAAACTGGTTCCTGGTTGGTTCCTGGTTGGTTGAGAATGGGGTTCCTGGTTGGGTCAACCTCGGAGCCCCCACTTAAACCAGGTTTTTTAAAAAAATCAAGGGTGGCTGGCTGGGAAATCCCCTCTGAATGGAGGCTTTATATCATGGCATATGAAGGGGAATCCCATGCTATTAATGGGACAATCATCTCTAAATGAATGTAAATGATGGATTTCCCATGGCACTAAGGCACTGAGTACCAGAGGGTACTGATTAACTGCTGGATTTTGTTCACTGCTCACTTGGTGCTTCACCTTACTTGAGTGCGCATATAACCCGTGTAATTCTGGTTATGACTCAATTGGTAAGTAAAAAAACATCGAAACACATAGGATAAGTAAGCATTTCAAATGTTGATGGTAAACATAATGCGTAATATCCTGGAAAATAAAAACAAGAAAACTTCGTACATTTCGTTGATGAGGGGCGTCTAGTTGCCAGGGTACATTGTATTTTTGGCTATAAACTGGACTAAATCAACTTGCGAAGGCTATCGCTGGTCTACCCACATATATATATATATATGTTGCAGTTGCCGTATCAGTGAGATACCTTTGATACCTTCCCCTTCAACAAAGAGTTGCTGCTCTTTGTGGACACGGAAATGGATGGCTTGACATTCGGCCATCCCCAGCGATTTCTGGAGGACCATCCCCGCTGAGTCTGGTTGGTGGTGCAATGTGCCCATCTTGAAAAATGATGGAGTGAAAGTCAGTTGGCAGTGTGTCAAAACCTTGTACCCCTGGTGAACATCAAAATAGCTGGTAAATGGATGTTCATCCCACTAAAAATGTATCTATAGGTATTGACCCATACCCAGTTGGGAGGATGACATTCCCAAGATATCCCATGACGTATCCGGCTGCTGCTGCTATATATATATTATATATGGTGTGCCATGGATCCCATCAATATACCCCAGTCATGTTAGCATTAATATACCAGCACCAGCCGGATCCGTCATGGGTATGGAAAGTCATAATCCATTCATGAGTATGGACAATTTACCATCAATATACCCCAAATGTTAGCATATATACCATACATGGATCCTATGGGTATGGAAAGTCATAATCCGTTCATGGGTAATTATGGGAAATTTACCATCAATATACCCGAAATGTTAGCATATATACCATACATGAATCCTATGGGTATGGAAAGTCATAATCCGTTCATGGGTATGGAAAATTTACCATCAATATACCCGAAATGTTAGCATATATACCATACATGGATCCTATGGGTATGGAAAGTCATAATCCGTTCATGGGTATGGACAATTTACCATCAATATACCCGAAATGTTAGCATATATACCATACATGGATTGTATGGGTATGGAAAGGCATAATCCATTCATGTTTGAAACCACCAAGCAGCAGTGGTTTTTGCATCCCATTCAGTGGGAAAGGTGTTCCTAGGGGCTCACCCCAGACGAAGCCCGTCGGACAGGGGATGATCTTCCGCCGGTCGCACTTGCGATATCTTGCGATCACCAGGACAATTAGATGTTTTTTTGAAACTATTAGCTATAGTTTAGTCCTAGTGATCGATCACTTTATATACACATCAACTTTCAACAATGCCATATAAACATGTCTAGTTTATTAACTATTGGCATGTGATTAGCTATAGTTTAGCCACATCAACATGTCATTCCTCATGTCATTCCTATACCCAAATGCTCCATGGTGCTTGAATATGCACACCAACATGTACCCGAACAATTCATCACCCAGTCATTTTTGGGTTTTGCATATACCAGCACCATTTTCTTCGCATATGGGTATATTTGTATTTTTGTTCATTGGCTACTGGCGTTATACTTAGATAGGCCATGGGATTAGCACGCGATTCCTGGTTAGTAACTGGGGATTTTTCCATAACCCCCTATATATATATCCCAATGAAATCATCCACTGGGCCTAGAGAACCATAGAAAGTGATGGTCCATAGAAATAGATGGTTTACCTATTAAAAAAGGTGATTTTCCATGGCTAGGGTTTTCCCAGATAGGAGTTGCCCCAATAACCAGAGGGTAAAACCATTTACTAGCTATTTTGAAATTTCCAATGCTATTGAATAATTTTCCATTGCTATTTTCCATTTACTCCTATAATAACCAGAGGCTTTTGTCCAGCCGAGCTTCTTCCGCCTGAGGATAGGAGTTGCCCCAATCGCCACCCGTTTGATGAACGCCGCTGTCACGGATCTGCCGTTTGGAGTCCGTGGCTTTGTGGTGTCTGTGGTGCTATCCTAAGGTTGACATGGAAGCTATATATATATATATGTATATACATATGTAAATATATATATATATATTATATCTCTACTATAAATTAATAATGTTAATACATTGAATATATGCTGTATCTGTTTATTGGTTCAAATGCGAGTGTTTGTTGGTTTGTCTCCGCGTTTTTGATTACAATAATCCATTGGTTATCCATCTCAAAAGGATTTCCCAACACACATGACATGATGCTTGTCCATTGTTTACCAAGGGTATCCCACCCCAAAGCATAACAAATGACAGCTTCACGGTGACTCGTTGCTCATCGTCGCGCAAGCCGACTCAAGCCTGCCTCTCGGTAGGCCAAATAGCCATAGATGCAGCCCACCACTTGAGAAAGGAGAGCTCCAAGTGTTGAGGCAAAGAGAAGCATGAAGTCAAAAGCTTCCTTTGCCGACGGCAGAGGGAGTCTCATATCATCCAACGTGGCGGAAATCCCCGGTCCGACAAAAAAAAACCATCCGTGTAGGCGACAAAAATGTGAAAAACGATCGTTAAGTAAATGGATAATCTTCGATAAACGCTGTTTGATTACCAGAGGTCATCACATTTTTGTTGGCCTTGAAAAAATGATTGAACGAAGCCTTTGGGATAGAGGGGGATATCATCAGGGCCTTTTAGTAGTCCATCATCATTAGGTACTAAACTACAAACCCCAGATCTACCCGGAATTCAAAACCTGAAAGGTTCGCAAGTTTGGGAAATTTTTTTTCCTAAGCACAGCCAGCGCATCATTCAGAAGGACCTTGATGGATGGTCCACCAGTAGGGGCATATCATATATTCCAAAAGCATGGAACATATCGTCAATAGAGGTTTTGGCTTTTCACAGTAGCAATTCACATGTTGACATAGTAACAATTGAAACCATGGTGTCAATATGGCAATATGTCAATGTGTATGACCTCACTTTCATAGAAACATAAATAAGAACTGACTTTCAACATCATTCAGCCCAGAGATGTTTGTTCTTGCCTTGCACAGGTTTTGCATGCATATCAGCTAGAATTAGGTGTGTCTATAAATGGGTTATAACTCCCAAACACCGAAAAGCATCGTCGATTTGAAGGGTACCATATACATCATCTAGGCGAACGATACGAATTTCAGACGTCCCAACTCAGAACTAGAAACACTTTAGGGTTTTCCCTGACAAAGCGTCATTTCTGATGATTCTCCATGTGAGATAGCTCTAGTTGATCCAGAGAAATGGGGTATTTGTCCGGTTGACCATGACTTTTGGTTGTTCAACATTGTTTTACCCCAAACCTTGGATGAACAAATCCTTGGTTCCTATGTAAAAAAAAAACTGAGAATGTTTTTGTCAACTACATTCAACCATTAAACATTTACATCTTCAACATTCCAAGACTTACTGGTGCGTTTTACGTAGGGTGGCTGGGTTGACTGGGGGTTGCTGGGATGATTATTAGTGAGCCAATGGATCATTCCCGAAAATTCCCTGCGTTTAGCACCAGCAAGTCTTGTAAACTAACACATGTATATAAACATGGCCTTTTTTTTGGAGTTATAATCCATTTATGAAAAAAAATCTGGGTGGGAAACTCTCAACCCAAGATTTCTCAACATTTAAAAATGCCCATCGGTGATCCATCAATCCCAGCAGCATAGAAGGTCACCGAGTTCAACATGGCCTTGAAGGCCCCGATGATCTCCCTGAGGGCTGTCGCGAAAGCCCAAAACATACGGCTTGCCAAAGAAATCAAGCAACATATAATGCTGAGTTATATACGTATATATCATATTAAAAAATATAACATTATAATATATAGTATGATAATATATATATATATATATATAATATTATAATATTATAATATTACAATATATATGTATGTATTTTGGGTCCATATCATGGTGAGAACACATATAAACATGATCTCTCTACACGAACCACTAACTACCCAATCAAGGTGTTCCCTGTGCTACAAGTTGACCACCTGTAGACTAATGGTCACTGAAGCCATGTTCTGACCCCTTAGCTATGCAACATCGCTATGCAAAATATACCGAGCGTCATGTTTCTTTATCATCATCGTCATCATCATCATCATCATCATCGCGAGCATATTTTTTATTATATAATAAAAAAAGCATAATCCATGTTGTATGACCACAGAATTTAAGTCTTCAATCTGGACTTTCAAGACGCTAAGCATACTCTAGATAAAGATCTTGAGATTTTATCAGACATGGATCCAAATCACCACAAATGGATGCAACTGATATCCAGGACAGCATGTTGCAGCCAGGGAGTTCCGGATCCTGGAGAGGACCATGACTTTTTCTATGGAAACCATGACTTAAACCTATGGTGACAACTGGGGATCCACCATGACTTAAGAAACCCCAATATGGATCGATACGGTTGATCTTGTCTGGTTGGTGGTTTTAACCATCTTGAAAATATGGGTTCGTCAATGGGAAGGATGACATCCCATATATGAAATGGAAAATAAAATTCATGATTGAAACCACCAACCAGATATTTCTATTTCCTATGTCTATTATGGAACATCCCATATTATGGAAAATAAAAAACCTTTGAAACCACCAAAAAGTTGTGTCTTGAATGGCGACCTAGTAAATCCCCTGCGGTCCCCTAGCTGCTTTTTTTCACAGCTGGCGACCTGGCAACATCTTGCAATCACTCAATCACTAGCTGCTGGCTGGTCAGCCTTGCCATAGATTCTTGGATTTGCAATTCTTTCATCATTTTCATAGGTCATAGTCCTCATAAATCGTAGGTCCTCGCTTAGTGGTGATCAGGGGTCATCTCAGTTCATCATCTTTTTGGTTGCAGGCATCCCCATTCACCCCCGGTAATCCAAGTTGTGTAGCTTGAGCAGCCTGGTTCATCCCATTACAGTATATCATCAGTTTTTAGTCAGCTGATGAGTAGATATCCCCTTAGATTTGCTAAGGACCGAAGTAGCTAAAGTACGTATTTCCAGGGTTTACCCAGGTTTTACTCGCAAGAAAATTCACGTACAATATATATATATATATATGTGTGTGTATATATATATAAACATATATATATATATATACATGTATATATATATGTATATAATATATATATAATATATATGTAGAGATAAATACATATCCTTGGAAACCATGGCCTTCCGTATCTGAGTTAGGGGACGGGGGTCACATTCGCCCCTATTCGAGGGTCACATTCGCCCCTAACCCAAAAGGGGTCACATTCGCCCCTATTCAACAATATTTTAAATATGTTACTCAACCCTTTAGGGTTTAACCTGGGGACAAGGGGGCATTTAGGGGGACTGGGGTTTAGGGGGGGACATGGGGGCATATGTTGACTTGTCTCTCTATTCCATATGTTACTCAACCTCTCTATTCCATATGTTACTCAACCCTTTAGGGCTTAACCTGGGGACAAGGGGACATTTAGGGGGACTGGGGTTTAGGGGGGGACATGGGGGCATATGTTGACTTGTCTCTCTATTCCATATGTTACTCAACCCTTTAGGGTTTAACCTGGGGACAAGGGGGCATTTAGGGGGACTGGGGTTTAGGGGGGGACATGGGGGCATATGTTGACTTGTCTCTCTATTCCATATGTTACTCAACCCTTTAGGGTTTTACCTGGGGACAAGGGGACATTTAGGGGGACTGGGGTTTAGGGGGGGACATGGGGGCATATGTTGACTTGTCTTGGGGAAGTTGATTGAAATGGCTGTTGGAACGTAGCATCCGAGGCGTCTTCCAAGTTGCTCGAACTGGATAGTACAACGTAGCATCCATAGTGTCCTAGAGGTTGCTTGAAATGGCTCTTGGAAGGTAACATCCAAAGCGTCTTCGAAGTTGCTCGAGATGGATGTTACAACGTAGGAATGGTACACCGTAGCATCCATAGTGTCCTGGAAGTTGATTGAAATGGCTGTTGGAACGTAGCATCCGAGGCGTCTTCCAAGTTGCTCGAAATGGATCTTACAACGTAGCATCCATAGTGCCTAGAAGTTGATTGAAATGGCTCTTGGAAGGTAACATCCAAAGCGTCTTCGAAGTTGCTCGACATGGATGTTACAACGTAGCAATGGTACACCGTAGCATCCAGAGTGTCCTGGACCAAAGCGTCTTCGAAGTTGCTCGAGATGGATGTTACAACTAGGAATGGTACACCGTAGCATGATAGTGTCCTGGAAGTTGATTGAAATGGCTGTTGGAACGTAGCATCCGAGGCGTCTTCCAAGTTGCTCGAACTGGATAGTACAACGTAGCATCCATAGTGTCCTAGAAGTTGATTGAAATGTCTCTTGGAAGGTAACATCCAAAGCGTCTTCGAAGTTGCTCGAGATGGATGTTAGCATCCATAGTGTCCTAGAGGTTGATTGAAATGTCTCTTGGAAGGTAACATCCAAAGCGTCTTGGAAGTTGCTCGAAATGGATGTTACAACGTATAGCAATGGAACACCATAGCATGCATAGCGTCCTGGAAGTTGATTGAAATGGCTGTTGGAACGTAGAAAAACACGTGAATGTCACTCTCTAGGGTGGAAAAAATCCTTTTGAGGCTCTGAAACTATTGCGCCTGCCACGCAAAAGGAGGGGTCACATTCGCCCCTAAAGGAGGGTCACATTCGCCCCTAATCCCACTTCATCCCCCTTGGAATAGGGGCAAATGCGACCCAAGATGGAATAGGGGCAAATGCGACCCCCGTGCCCTGAGTTAGTCTACTGGAAGGTACCCTCCTGTAAACTGACATGGATGTGGAAAATCTATCATTTTTAAATCCTTTTCCGACCGGGAAACCGTTGGTTTTAAAGTTTTCCATATCTATGTTAGTTTACCCTGGGGTAAATGATTTGAATGATTTTCCATATAATGGTTTGAATGATTTCCATATAAATGATTCGATCATTATATGATCTGACCAAACTTCTGGTTCCGTCCAAGGTGCCCAATGTCGTTGTTCAGAATGAGGCCCAGCAGAACTGTGATGAGGTTGCCTGAGAGCGTGGTCTGATATTTTGTTGAGGAAAACCCAAGTTCTCTGGTTATGTGTTACTGGAAGAATGTGGATTAATGTTAGTAAAGCAATGGAATCCACCAACTCCAAGTTTACCATAGATAGTGGTGATTCCAACCATCAAAATATGGCTCGTGTATGACGTTGCTTTACCAACATTAGATATTACAGTAACATATATTAATCATTAACCATCAACCTTTTTTGTAGCCTAGTTATCTAGTCAAAGACATACCCTTGTGTTCATGGATTTTTGGGGTTTTGTCTGGAACAGAGCAGAAACAAAACAAAACTGCGTAAGCGTTTGTTGGATGAAATGACGATGAACAAATGGATTTTGGTGGGTCCGCATCAATGTTCAGACACACCTACATGTCGAGGGTTTAAACATGGCTACAACCATAGAAATTTCGACCCCCTACGATGCCATCCCTGTACTTTTTTGGGTTCCCAAAGCACATGTTGCTTGAAAATGTGTGTATATATATATATGATATACGTATATAAATATATATATAAGAAACCTATACACTTGCAACCCCCAGAAAAAATAGACAAAGTTCTTAATTACCATTATGTTAGTCGAATTGTACTTTCACATTTCGAGAGGTTTGCTGGGAACCAACACATGGGAATGAATGAGGCTCTAATTTTACAAAACCACCAGAATATGTGGATATGTCTAACTAGTTATACTATAACTATATGTAATATATTATAACTATCATTGGTTCAAATATGTATATATATATATATGTATGTGTATATAGCTATATATGTGTTTGTATATATATATGTATATATATATATAGATATGTACACGCTACATTGCTACATGCATATTTACTTCGATATACGCATATCATTTCATTATCACATCATCGTGAAACTGACGCATATTTAGTTGCATTTCTATATTATATACATACAACAAAATAAATCCACTTCTGTAATTCCACATATCAATAAATACCACACACGTGTCACACTTCAATCATACTAGATTCTAGCTACAAAACAAATCAGAAGCAGGGCACTCAACAAAACAAAACATTGACTGACAAACATGTGACAGAAAAATGAGAAGCCCAAATGACAAACCAAAACAACGACAACCCCCCAAATGACAGAAACATGACAAACTACAAACAAACGACAAGTGGCAACGACACAAAAAAGCGTTGTTTTTGTTGCTCTGACGCAGAATGTGCTGGTCAGTACCCTCTGGTAAACATACAAAAAGCTATTGAAAAAGGTCCAGTCGAAATAGTTGATGTACCCATAAAAAAATGGTGGTCTTTTCCATCGTTTTTTGTTAACGTTTACCAGGCCCGGTAACTCATAAGTTCGATGATTCTCCAAACGCGATTTCCATGGGATTTCCGTGGCACAGGCTACCTACGTGCGGTGGTGCCCCAGTTCGTTATCTAACTTGGTTTATAAGTCCAATTTCACTAGGGTTTATGGGGGATATATATATATAGTTAATGGGGATTATAAACCAACAAACATCACTGGGGGGTACCACCTTGTACGTGCGGTGGTGCCCCCCCCTTAGTTATTCGTGGGTTCATAACCCCATCAAGTAGATATCTGCTGCCTAGGTCCAAGTGATTGGAGTGCTAAACTAACTTAGCTAACGAACTGGGGGCTCCAGCCTAACTATGGGCTTCCCAGCCGGCCATGTTAGATTTCCGCCGGATATCTTTTAGCCTGCCAAGGCACAAATGATGAATGGCATCAAGCAGGTCAAGCCACCTTGACACCTCCAGCAAGATCGCTTGCTGTGTGATGGAGAAAACCAATGCCGATCGTGTCACACAATGTGTCAAGTCCCATGGGCAAAGACTATTCATGGGGATTTCTATAGTCTATCTATATGTTTATGCAGTATTCACTTTGGGTTTGGGGTTTGAGGTTTGGTGTTTTGCCAGATTGGCACCTGTAATTGTGATTAATTGTGTATGTTCAACCTCCCATTTCCATGTTCCCATAGGTCTTGACAAATCTCAACTTCTCACCATCCTTCACCTGTTCAGGACTCATTCCAATTCATCATCTTATACTTCGGGGTGCAGTTGAGCTTGTATATGAGTATAATGAGTCTATTGTCTAACCATACATACAACATTAATTAATTAATATGAGTATAATGAGTATATTATCTAACCATATATAACATTATATCACCATATCTAAACATAATATCATAATTAGTGGGCCTATATCCCAATGCCATTTTGCTCACCTCTGGGCTTGCACTCAAGGCTTTCATCCCGACTGGATGGACACTGTTGTGGACACCGATATAGGTGGCATGAGTAACTCATTTCTTGAACAGATGCTTTCTTACTGGTGCTTAGTAGGGAATGGATGGTAATGGAATGGGATTATTATTGATAGTTCTTGTGGATCATTCCCTCATTCCCTACTAAGCAGAAGTAAGTTTTGTAGACAACAACAAACCAGGAAAAAAAAACATGTGTTTTGTTGAGACAGAAAACGAACTATCAGATCCATCAGACTCAACATCCCTTGCGTTCCACCCGCCCCGCGAACTGGGCTTGTCCCACTGTTCAGTGCAGGGTTTGCAGCAAGAACGTCCAAGGAAAGCATAGATGCGGCCGATGGTCGAGTCGTCTTTCAACATCCAAACACCTGCGCCATGGGATCATTGGTTCATGGGAGTTCCTTGATCCATGGCTGGTTGATGTCACAACCGGATGCTGCTGAATTTTGAAGATAACGACCACCTGCTATATCTTGAGCTTCTGAGAGTTGAACGGGGTGTTTTTAGTATTGGTCTGTCTGAAAAATTTGGTGCCCCATTCCATGTTTTGTTTCATAAGTGTCCATCTTATTGCCTATTGATATAAGTTTTGGGGGTAATTATTTATGCCCCCATGTTTGGACAAACCCATCGAATATGCACCTGCATTGGGTGATTGTGTGGTGAACTGTATGATTTTTGTTTACATGGTCTGGGACTACCCCCCCAAAAATGGCTCCATGTATACATTTACATGGTCAATCTTTGGTTGTCCGCAACAAAAAAATCTTGTGCTGCTTGGCTGGTTATTTTCCATGTGTAACAAAAAACTAAAGGATCAAACTATCCAAGGTAGGGGATGTTTATCTAACATTTACCCTCTGGTAAACTAAGATAGCTATTGAAAATCACCATTTTTATTGGGAAAATCCACTACAAATCACCATTTTCAATAGCTATGTTAGTTTACCAGAGGGTAAATCATTTTGACAGGTCGATGTTGATACCTAAGGCACCTATGAAGTGTTTGCCGTCCCCCATGGTTTTATGGATCACTTGGCCAATGTTTGCCAATGATATCCAATTCATATCCCATGAAATATCCCATTGTAACCCTTCCCATATCCCATGAAATATCCCATGAAATATCCCATGAAATATCCCATGAAATATCCCATTGTATCCCATGAAATATCCCAGATGCTCCATGGTGCTGGAATATTTACAATATTTACCTACAAATCTGTGCCATTTTTGGGGTCAATGTCGGTATCCCATGATATCCCCATTGGAAAAATCCACATGGACTCCCCCGATGTCAGATCACGTCAGATCGCAGGCGCACCGATGAGTGCGTTGAGGATCAAGTTCAAGGAGGACACCAACATCTGGCCCTACGCGATGACCGCGATGACAACGGCCCAGGGCGAGCTTGACTTTTTGTTGGGCCATGACTTGTGAAGCCTTTAATGGATTGAATAGTTTGAATATCATGATGTTATATATATATAATTTTTATAGATGTATACCTCCTGGTATGCCCCTGGTAATTGAGGATAGAATTGGTTTGTACGACTCATTCTCTGGGAGTCACTGGAATCTGGGAAGGCCTTTTTTTGGGAGTTTACCGCGCTATATAAATAGAAACCATGGTAATGGTAACTCTACTCAGTGGTGAGTCTCCACAATTGATTACAAGTGTGCAATTTTTGCGTTCTGGAATCCAAAACAAATTGCTGACCATCAGCACCTCAAAGATGAAGGGATTCGATGGCTTTCTGTATTGGTGCAATGGGTCATGATATTTGACAGCATATCATCTTAACCTCCAGTTTATTACGACTTTCCAAAAGAATGATATGTCCCGAAATGGTACGAGTACCCCCCCAATTACCCTTTGGTAAACTAACATAGCTATTGAAAATGACCATTTATAGTTGAATTTGCTAGTAACTGGTGATTTTCCATAGCTATGTTAGTTTACCAGAGGGTGTATCTCCATTAAATCCCCATTCAAGTCTATTAAGTCACCGCTAAATCCCATTATATCACCATTAAATCATGGTAGTTACATGTAGTTACCCATTCAAAAAATATTTCAAATGGTGATGTTTCATTGATTTTCCAGTTCGCTATGTTAGTTTACCAAAGGGTAGTAACACTGGGTTCTTGCGAAGCGCCAAGCGACAAAGGCGCCGCCCAAAATGCCGGCGATCAATTCACCAATGGTGCACCTCTGGGGTGTCAACAGTCTTCAACACATTGCTTCAAGGGAAAATCTATGAGAAAACTCTATGGTTGTTTTTTTTTTAAACCATGGTTTGACCTAAAATTCTGGTTGGTGGTGCAATAACCATCTTGAAACATATGAAAGTCAATGGGATTATCCCGTATATTATGGAAAATAAAAAATGTGTGAAAACCACCAACCAGCCATCAATAAATAGGCCTTAGGCCTTTCCTGTATTTTGGAAAATCCGTTGGGCCATTGGGCCACCATTTGTTTTTCTCAGATGTTCAGTAGCCCATGGGTTTTGAATGGTCACCCAACCAACCCAACCTGCCGTAGTTCACTACCCTGATATCAACAACTCAGTGCTTTGTGAGAAACTAGGAGCAACTAATGTTGATATGTTTCAGGCAGCCAATACTAAGGTGTATGTCTGGGCAATTAATAATTTTCCCCACAAGACATCATAATATTGCTATCGTTGGTTTGTCCGCAAAATGACAAATGGAGTGGTGTCCCATTTTTTTTGGCTGCCCAGAAATCATTGTCTATAATTTGCTTAAAAAAAACCTGGGGCCGACATTACCTGGTTGGTGGTATACCTACCCCTCTGAAAAATATGAAAGTCAATTGGGATCATTCTTCACAATATATGGAAAAATATTAGTCAATGTTCCAAACCACCAACCAGTTACAAACGTCCCCTGTCTTCGTGGGGTTGTCCCATCTCCAACTGGACGAGCGACAGAATGAGGATCAGGATGCTGTACTTAATGACCTCAACTGCATAAGGGAAGGATGTTGAAACGAAAAAAAGGGAAGGCATGTCAACATATACACCCTGGATATTTAAGATGTACCCTCCGGTAAACTAACATAACTATGGAACATCACCATTTTAAATGGGAAAATCCACTATAAATGGCAATTTTCAATAGCTATGTTAGTTTACCAGAGGGTAACTCCAAAATATCCCAAATTATATAATCCAAAAACAACAATTTCTGACCATTTCCACTGGGAGAATCCTCTTCCTGACCCGGTTTTTTGGGGTTTCCATCTATTCAACAACAAGATTGGGAAGCAAACCAAGAATCTAATGCAAATTCCCCTGAAAAACCCTTCAGTGTTTTTTCATTGCTGCTTCCAAAATCTTCAGTGTTGATATTGCTTCTTCTCAACGACTTTCAGTTCTTCTAACTTCTCAATCTTCCAAAATGTTGACCCTTTTTCGAAGAACTGATCTGTGGAAGTCGTTTGCCAAGCTCAACTCATGGCACCGTCCATCCGCCCAGCGGCCCGAAAGCGATGCGCCACTTCGGGTGGCGGCGGACCCATGAGGGGGACCCCCATACCTCGCAGACATCGGTGCCCAGCTGCAAGCCGAGGGATTTGGCAAATCCATGGGCTACTTAGATGGGCCATGGGAAAGATACGCGATTCTACTGCTTAGTAACTGGGAATATATATATATAACCTCCTATATCCCAATGAAATAATCCACTTACTAACTAGTTAACTAACTCCATGGCACATCTAAGTCACAATCATAGTCGATCAAGCCCAGCTCCAGATCCAGATGCATTGGGCCCATTGGGATGATGATAGCAGGGTAGGCTTCAAACCAACAACGCTTTTATGTTGTTCCATGTATGTATATGTGTATATATATAAGCATCTGTTATATAATATAAATATATACAACTACAGAATGTATGTATATAATGAGATGTCCTTGTCCAAAAATAGGGTACTCCTGGTTATATAATCATCACTTTCCCTATTGACTTGATTTAAATTGACTATTTGTGGTATACCCCATTTTAAGACACGCCCATATATATAATACACACACATATGTATAATATATCATATGTGATATATCTATAATATTATATCATAATAGCCACTATGTCTTTTCTAAGGTGAACTCATTGATGCCTCAATTCCACCTTCAACATCTAGCAGGAAGGTCCGCCACGCCTCCGATAGGAATCATCATGATGGGCCAAAGGCGGATTGGAACTTTTGACGGATGGTACCAGGCAAAAACAAGAAAACATGCGCCACACATTCTCGCTTTGAGTAAGGGCTAGGTTATGGCAGGTGAACTATGGTGAAGCCCTGCCAATCTTTAGCTGAAAACAAGAAAAAGCAAGAGTGACATGAAATTTGCCAGCTGTGGAGAACATGGGCCAATGAAACTTTGTGACTGTGTGTGACTACGTGGTCTTTGCAAAGTTTGGACGTTACACCAATTGAACTGTACTGATCCATATAGATTCGGACCCTAAGGGCCGATGGGAACGAGATCGCAACTGAAACCTTGAGCCAAATGCACCATCACCAAACCCTTAGAAGACGAGAATGGAAAAATAACAAAGATCTCATCCTCGGGGTGGGGAAATTTACGTAACGTACATCAGTTTCACATGTTGAAAAGCGTCTCAAATCAGTACCAAATGATACTAAATGTCAGTATGGTGCCTAATCACCCCCTTAAAATTCACCAAAGTCAATCTATTCCTGTCAACAAATCCAAGAAGACGTCCTCAAATCTCTCAGTAGCCAGTCAATTATGGCAGGAACTAAGTAATGCAAGTTCTTGGGTTTTAGCTCTGTATTGATCCTAGCATTGATGCCACATTTTTAGTGCCTCTGCAAGTCAAGGACCATGGTATATGTTTGCCCAATTCTATAGGTATTGGAGGCTCTCTCGCTATAGAGGTTTGTGCCTGTGGCCGTCAATAGTACCCTCTGGCTATTTAACACAGCTATGGAAAATGCCCATTACATAATTTATGATGAAATACCTCTTTAAAGAAAAAACACTTAAACATATATATATATATATTTACACATGGACCTTTTTCATAGCTACGTTGAATCACCAGAGGATAAGTCCCATCATGTTCATTCATTTTCCAGCACCCCATAGCATAATCATATGTCTTGATACATGCTGTGTTGACCCAGGAGTCGCGGAAGCTTTTTGGAAGTGCACTCCAATTCCAAAGAGAGGTAATTCTCACTGTTCTGGTTGGCGGTTTCAACCTCTCTGAAAAATATGAAAGTCAATGGGGAAGGAATATCCCACATATTATGGGAAGTAAAATTCATGTTTGAAACCACCAACCAGTTAATAATAATAATAATGGTTACTAATGGATCATGTATACTCTGAATATACCTACAAAGTCTAAAGTGGTGCCTCCTAGATAGTTAAGTTGGTTGATAACTCCCATAACCATAACTATGTTTTATGGCAGATATAACTATAGTTAATGGGGTTTATAAACCAATTTATAACTAGGGGCACCACATTGTATATTATAATATATTATAACCCCATTTATAGAATGAATAATCCCATAGAAATAACCAGTTATAACTCATTTTTTATGGCCATAACTGTAAGATACTGTAGCAATGAAAAACGACCATGGAAACCATATAAGAATAGACAAATCATCTACTTAAATGGGTCATGTTATACTCTGAATATACCTATAGTAATGGTTAATGCTACGATTCTTTAAGACAACCATGGCAATGGTGCCAGATCAGCATCCCCATTGACTAGTCACGACTCGTCCTCGTTGGTCGCGGCTGAGGCCGCGCTCTTGGGCTTCGTGGACCTCTTAAGGCGACCCCGGCGTCTGAGAAAAATCGTGGATGAAACCAGGGGGAGCCATGGGGCGCCCTAAAACTGTGTGTTTTTCTATACTAATTATCCCTATCCCATAGGATCCATGGTGCTGGTATATATTGGTATATATGCTAACATTGGGGGTATATTGATGGGATCCATGTTACCATATATAGCAGCACCATGGATCCTATGGGTATGGATCCAAGTATTTGTTCAAGTATTTGGGGGTTGATTTAGGGGTTAGCAGAAAACCTTCTCAGGTAGCATGAAAAGGTACTTAGATGGGCCATGGGAAAGATACGCGATTCTACTGGTTAGTAACTGGGGATTATGGATATAACCCCAAAAAAACCCAATGAAATAATCCACTTATTAACTAGTTAACTAACTCCATGGCCCATCTAAGTAGTGATTTTACATGGATTTCAGCCATGTGTATCAATGTCATAGAGTCATATACTGACAATGATCATTGAGAAGAATGTTGAACTCTAAGCTCCATCATGTTCAGCCGGACTTGGATTACAGAAATCCTATATATTTTTCAGATAGATATATGTCGGACGGCATCAGCACCGCGGATTCAATAAACTTTTTCAGTCGGCTGAAATTCACAAGGTCTGTGTCTTGACCAATTCAACTGCCTGCTGTGAAGCAGAAGCATGATCTATCATGATCTCTACACGGCCGCACGGCTGGCACTAGCGCATAGCTGGCATAGCTCCCCTCATGGGCGTTCGCACATGAGAGGCTGGCGAACGGGGTTTGGTCAGAGCGCATCTAGCTGGACCCACGTCTATGGTTGATCAGAAAGCAATAGCAATGAAAACACGTGCCTATTACTATGCCTTTAAAAACCGGATAAAGATGGATAAAGATTATCTGGTTGGTGTCTTGGAGCCATCAACATGAATGTTTTGTTTCTTTGTTTTTCTGGAGGTTCATGATCTCCAGTGGTGACGGAAAGTTGTTCAAAAGCCATCCAAAGCTATCAGGCAAGGTATGACTTTGGGACTGATGGCTGATCAACCTCTGAGAATCTCAGTCTGTACAAGGTCGACTAGATGCGCAGTCATAGGGATTTTTGTTTCTCACCTGGCGAAAGCTGGCTGCGACAGCGTGAGTTGTGAAGTTCACACAGTTCACCCGCCCATTTCCAGATTTATCACTTTGGAAAAAGAGCTATGGAACAATTAGAATACCAACAAAAATATACAAAAATCACAAATTGGGGTTCCCAACCACAATTATGGCCCAAAATACCAGTTATAAGTACTTATAATCCCATTTATAGAATGTATAATCCCATAGAAATAACCAGTTATAACTGATTTTTATGGCCATAACTGCAGAATGTAAACTGCAACCATCTCCATTGGATGCGATTGGATCTACCTTCGAACATCTCAGGGCTACCTTGGATGGGTCATGGTGTGGGGGTTACTACTACCACAACTACCGGAAGGGCCACCCCTGGATAGGTAAGTTGGTTCATAACTATAGGCAAAGCAGTACATACGGTGGATATATATATATATATATATATTATATATACATGTGTTTTAAAAGGTGATTATAAGCCAAATCATAATTTGGGGGGCCTTTCGTGTGGGAGATCACTGCGCCTGTTACCCGTGCACTTACTACTTTGAGGTTGTTGTTGCTTGGCAGAGGCTTAAAAAACTGTCTCGAGAGGCTCTCGTTCTTGGAAGACACTTTCAAAAACATATTGAAGTATCACCATTTCCAGGCAACATATGTTCCTATGCAAATGCATATACACAATAACATATGTATATATATATATATATATATATCATATATATAATAACATATATATATAACCAACAACATATATATATATAATAAACAATAACATATATATATAATTATATATTTGTATAATAACATATAATTATAATACTATATATATAATAGCATATATATAATAACATATATGTATAATAACATATATATATAACCATATATGTATATCTATAATATATATATATACATTATATATCATTCTATAATATAAATTGAAATATGTAGTATGTAAACATAAAGTCCAATGTATCAAACTACACATAGAAAATCTACTGATCCAAGTGGCCTCTGGGCACCGCTTCGACCGTCGCTTCAAGCGTTAGACGTTGAAGCTCTGTCCGCAACCGCACTCGGACTTCTTGTTGGGGTTGTTAAAGACAAACCTCAGCAGAAAGGTTTTCGAAGTTGATTTCTGTTTTTGCTTTTTCTTTGTCTGTAAACAACAAAAAGTGGTAATAATGTTGTTTTTGCATTACCCTCTGGTTATGACTCACATAGCCATGGAAGCCATGGCCCATAGAAATAGATGGTTTACCTATTAATAGCATGGTGATTTTCCATGGCAACGGAATGACCTAGCTGAAACTGCTCGGAGTATCCCCTGGTGAAGCCTGGAAGAATCGAGCTTCACTCAAGTTCGGAAATATGCTGAAACAACATGAAAAAAACATGGAATAGTGTTTAGAGTACACTCCAATATGATGTATAAAATTGTATAAACATGTCAACATTTGTTGACAATTCATCGTTGTGTATTTCATCACTTGGTGGAGAACTATGTATAAACATATACAACATATCGTTCCACAGGAAGTGGACATCAAACAAAAAACAGCCCATTTAGTTCGATGGTTTTCCTGATATTAAATGATTTATCTATTACCCTCTGGTGAACTAACATAACTATGGAAAGATCCACCATGCTATTAATGGGAAAATCCACTATTTCTATGGCCATTTTCAATAGCTATTTTGACATAACCAGAGGGTAAACATGGAAAACATCGAAAGGCTTGAGGTGACATCACCATAGATTTTTCTTTCTCATTTTTTGAGCCATGAAAAATACCGAGCTCTATGCATTCCATCTCACGGTAGTTGGCTGATAAGTTTCTCTACTTTCAGGGCCATAATATATCATAATATGCTATATGGTAATCCCCTAGCCTAGGTAGTATAACTCCCTGTAATCAGCAATCAACAATGGTACTTTAACGGCTCAATAAACACGTTCACTGTGTGTCGCTTTGACATCCGCGCAACGCGTTGCGGAATTTCACAGGTACCAGGGAGGTCATGAACACATCCATACCATGGGAATTCTTTGATATATGAACTCCCAGCCATAAATTGATGATTTACCATATGTAAATATGGTGATTTAAAAGACTTGAATGGTGATTTAATGGAGATATACCCTCCGGTAAACATTTACATAGCGAAGTGGAAAATCACCATTTTGTGGCTGGGTAAATTTTCACGAACTTTCGACTGGGCCATGGCTTGCAGTTTGCGAACTGTAACAAACTGGTGGTTTCAACCCCCTGAAAAATATTAGTCAGATTGGATCATCATCCCAACTATTGGGGAAAACAAAAAATGATCCAAACCACCAACCAGGTAACAAATTACCAGAGGGTAATGGGTGTATCCTTATCCCTCGTAATGGATTGATGACCATTCCACACATGTCAGCGGCTTAAAAACATGCTGTATCGAACGCCCATGCGAACGCTCATTCACATGACCCCATTTTTGTTGCAAAGAATCCCATTTCTTTGTTGATCCTTCCCTCCAGTACACTAACATAGCAAACTGGAAAATGGTCCATTTATGGAGGATATATATATAATATAATACCTATTGAAATGGGGATTTTCGCTATGTTAAATTACCAGAGAGTACATTTCTTGCTAAAGAAGTCCGACCGGGGAACTCATTTCCAACCTCATTGCTAACGAAGTCCATCTCTGTTCCAATCAGGAACATGACCTCGCTTCCCGTGGTTTCCCGGATCCATTCCCGTTCCCATCATTTCCCATCCTTCATAAGAAAGCCCGATACGTGGGGGCTGCAAGTTTGCTAGTAGGTGGGCAATACCGAAGTATTTGTTCACCCAGCTCCAACTGAGTTATTATTCATGCCATATTTGGGACGTACATCATTTCACATGTCAAACGTATGGAAACGGGTGTACTTGCGATCATGGGCCCCAATCAAAAAAAACAATGCGAAGCTGAGATGACCCGCCAGAAAACATGGAGGTGGGGATATACATATAGTAACCCCGAAAAAGAATCAAATAGAGAGAAAAGTAATTCATCGCTAGTTTAGTCGGATTTTACTTTGCTATCTTTTTGGGGCTTACTATACTATATGCATATATAGATTATATAGTTATTACATATATATATATATATTTGTATAATATATATTTCTGTATGATATTTCTCCTACCTCTCGACCTATACATAACCAAGGCCTCATTTTACTAGCATGCTTTTTTTCCACCAAAAAACCTCACGGGCAGGAGCTGATAGGGATCAAGCCAGGGGGCTCATTTACAAATAGTGCTTGTCATTTTGGACAACCTTCCTGTCAATGGCCATTTCAGGAACCGATTCATTGGAGGTACCTACCATATATAAGGCCTAAATTTCAGGGGATATCCCCTCAAAATATGGTCTTATATGGTACAGTACCTCCATTTTAGGATCCTGAATTTCCCATTGAAGCTAGTTTGTTTTTTTGGGCTGTGAACGTCTACCCCTAGCCTTGTTCTTTGGGCAATTTAACATACTTGCAGTCATTGAAAATTGCCCATTTAGAATGAGTTTGCTAACTCAACCAGCCCAATTAAACAGCCTAGGGGTTTATGAATCCAGATCTGACATCATGAAACATAATTATTATTTCCCTAGCAAACGGTGAAAAAATACAAGGGCTATACCTGGAGATGATGACCACGACAGGATCGTAGGCCAAAGCTGAGGACAAAGCTCTAAAATTCATGGGGGATTTAAGCCAACCCCCCGTCAGTTGATGGGTAGCCTTGTAAGGTAATGATACATATTAATAAGCCTAAAAATCACAGTTGTTGCTGATGAATAAGCCCTCTATAGACCTTTCCGAAATTGGGGATGTCAGCTGAATAGCCATGAGATCATGACCCATTCATTCTGTGTGGCACGATCAGCACGGTGCCAGGCTGTAGGGCACCACACGGCTTTGGAATCTACAACCACCTTGATGCCCTGATCGGTCTCAACTACCTGACGCCACCATGACATAGGAAAGAAGTCCCACTTTTGACACTGTTGGGCCAACAGCATTAATTTTAAACAAACAAAGTATTCACCACTTCTTTCTTGGTGTTGATCTCCTTTGAACAAAAAAACATATGAAGTAGGTTTGATTCCCAACTGTCCACGCGATCATTTCCACCTTTCAAGGCAAAAAAAAAACAGTGGTCTCTCCCAGTGTTTGTTGGTTTATAAAATCCATCAACTATATATATATATATATTATATTATACATATATATATATACAGTATACATATATATATAATACAATAGTATAATCTAGTATGCATATTTTATTTGCCGCACAGCCCGGTTATGCGCTTCTAAAACCAATCTAACTAGTTCACTTAATCTACCATAGCACCATGACGCTGCACCTCGTCGAACTTGTTCACTTTATCGGTGTAGTCCTGGGCCCAGTTCATCATCATCCAGTCGTCATGTGGATGACTGATGACCATGAAGTATTGAAACAACCATGAAACAACCATGGATCAAGACCCCCCATATAAGTCCCCAATAATCCAGGTAGATTCTCATGGAGTGATGGATTTTCCCATTTAGAAATAGCCATGGGCTTTCCAAGATACATAGCATGGTTTCCACACAGATCCACCATGACTTCAGAAAGCCCAAACTGCAGATGCCAACTTCGTATTCAATACCATCTGGTTATGACTAACATAGCCATGGAAAATCACCATTTTTAATAGGTAAACCCAGGTAAACCATCTATTTCTATGGGCCATCTATACCATGGCGAACTGTGAGTCATAACCAGGTTGGGTATATTCAATGGAATCGGAATTGCTTCAACTCTAATGTCAAGAAAAGATCTTAACCAAACACCATGGTTGTTTTTCAGTTCGCTAAAACCTGCGCTTAGGTTTTCCGGTTTTTTTTTTTGGATCATATCCCGGAGATCAAAAAGACGGCGAATGGTCCAGTGGAACTGGCCATGTTGCACTTGTTTGTCGTCGTATGTCTATTGCAAACATTAAAAAAAAAACACCCATGTAATACACCAACATTGAGTCATGTCCTTCAGAGCTTTTTCAAAAAACACTGCATCATATCGACATGTGTATCAAGTGTGACAATATATAATATAAAAGAACACCTCGAAATGCATCAACAATTTCATTGCAAAAGCAACATAACCAGCGTCTACGCACATCTAGATATGCAGTATATAACATGTAGCAATGGATCGTTGCTAAACCCTCTTGCAAAATCTCCTGGTCTTCAGAAAATTGTCTAGACCAAGGCACTAATTCACGACTTTGGAATACAAATCTGCCATGGAAAAAAGTAGCTGCCTATTTCTCACTCCCATGACGACTGGATACTGGACGTGTTTCTGGACGCCATATGACGCTCGTCAAACCCAACCATGGAATTCACCGAATTCTATAGCCGCTATGGTACCAGCTGCATTTGAGTTCCATGACTACCCTCTGGTAAACTAACATAACTATGGAAAATCGCTATGTTAGTTTACCAGCGGGTAATGTGTAAACGTGAAATTGAAAAAAACATGCGTTAAAAAATTGGATCGCTTATCTTGAGCAATTAGCAACATATCTCCGAGAAAATATCTCCCCGCTTTCCATCAGATCTTTCGCTTTGCGTGCTCGAGGTTACAGAACGTTACAGAAGGCGAGATCTTTGACAAGTTTATATCCCATGACATATCCACTGAATATCCAATGAAATCAGCACCATTTGTCACACATCTTGATATGAGTAGATAATGTGAAATCAACATTTCGCAAAATATCTTTACTTCGTTACAGTTATGGCCCTTTACCAGCTATAAGTACTATATAAGAAAACCCCATTTATAGATTGTATAATCCCATAGAAATAACCAGCTATAACTAATTTTTATGGCCATAACTGTAAATCATGTTCAATGACGATATTCACTGGTTACATCACTATTTTTGACTGCTTCGTTCCATATAACTTGACCACGGCACAAAAAAAAAACCGTTTGGGCGCCCTGGCCATGGTGTACGACATCCCGTTGCAGCCTCGTTGCCTGGTGTGCATCTCACTTAGGCAATGTGTTTTACCCCCAATTGTACAATGTCGGGCCAGTGGGGCCCCCTAGATAGCTAAGTTGGTGCAAATCACTCCAATTTCACCAGGATTTATGGTACTTATAACTATAGTTCATGGGGTTTATAAAGCACCTTATAACTGGGGGGGCCACATTGTATATGGAAGATCCCCACTTACATACGGGATTACATGGATTATATGTGGATTATAAACATGTGTAACCACATACTAAGTAGGATGCACATCCAAGTAACCATCAAAACTGGAGATTCAACCAGTGAATAAATGGAAGATTTAATCACACAAAATAGGGATTTTAACATTTAAGATGGGGATTGAACCAATGAATACTGGATCTGGCTTGTACACCGTCCTCAAAAGATAAGTTTGCTACCTAAACACTGGCTCTTTATGAAGAAAAAACCAACCAAAATGGATGTTTCTTCAAAAATAATGGCATAAAGAGGGATAACACCAGAAATCATGGCTTCTCTTGGCCATCAAATGTCGTGTTCGACTGGACAACGACGCCGTCTGCGGGGCATTGAAGAATTTAGATCAACCGCAAGTGGGATGCACATCCAAGTATATACAATGTGGTACCCCCCAGTTATAAGTTGGTTTATAATCCCCATTAACTATAGATATAACCCCCATAAACCCTAGTTATTGGACTTATAAACCAAGTTAGCTAACTATGGGGCACCACCTTGTAGAGCCTTTCGGATGATTGGAATGCTGCTGATCCCAAGAGATATTTCAAGCAGTAGCCCGGAGTGAGGCTTTCTCAATGGCGGATCGCCAAGTCAGCATCGGTTTTAGTACTACGTTAATGACTTGGATGATATGGTACACTTGGTGATAAAACAATATATATATAGATATATATAGTATATATAATATTGTGTATATATTAGAATATGTATATATATATTATGGCGATTTAAAACCAACCATAGTGGGAATCTGAATGTGTCTCAAACATGTGGCATATTTAACCAACCAACATTATTTTGGATAATTAAACCAACTATATATAATGAAGTGATACAATGGGTATGAAGATTTGACTAAGATTTGGGTGTGTCTCAAAAATTGAGGATCTAGCAGGCTACCAGCATGCTTAGCGCATTTTTAGGAGGAAACATCATGACCAAGGCTTCGCCGCCATGGAACACAACGGCGGCCTTTAATAACAATCCCTTAAATAATACATGGACCTTTAGATCGACTTCCAACATGATGGAACTTGATGTAACTGGGGGGGGTTTTTGATATGGTATAATCCATTTACTATAGATGGGGCTCCCACTACCGCGCGCAAGCTTGTACCGCGCAAGCGCTGGTCCGTTGCTCCAACCCATCTCCGGCGCCTCAAGCCAATGCGCACACCAATGGTGCTGGCATCCTTCCTTCGCGCCATCAAATCGCCCAAGCGACTCGCGGCGTTCTTGGTGACGGACCTTGGATCTTGGAAGGCGGTTGGATTCCATGGGATTCCCAGGCTGGGAAGGTGATGAATTCAGAAATGGTGATTTCATCTACCAAGTTCTGTGGATTTAGCTAGGTTATGGCAAAGTTCAATTGATGGAGTCTTTATTTGTTCTCCTAAACAAGGCTCACATTGAGGCAAAATTGGTTCGTGATGTCCGACAACTTGCAATTTCTGGATCCTCTTCACGGATTTTCATGTTAGAATTTTAGTCGGTTCCATGTCACGGTTGTGAAGTGCTTGCGTGCTTCACATCTTGGAAGATGGTGAGATCGACGCTTCTAAGTTTTAAAGATGACTTGGCAGTGCATGACTGATTCCAATCTTATTTCAGCATGTCTAATTGGCATGTTTACAAGTGGCCAAGAACCACCAGCAGGAAAGAATAATAGGTCAATAGTACCATGTCCTTTCTTCAGAGGTTTTTTCCGCCGCCGTTTCTGTGCACCTAATATCCAGATATCTAGAGGGGTGTTCCCGCAGTAGATTTATTTTGGCGGGCAGCACTGCAACCTTTTTCCCACCACCTGAAACATCAACAACTTGGGCTACACTCTTCTCTCTTCCTGGAATGCCCTGCTTGTGGAAGCCTCAACACAGATCTGGTCCCTTCCTTTGCTGTAGAAATCAGGCCAGACATGTTTGGTCCGATAAGATCTCTGAAGCACAAGGTTTGTCAACAAAAACATGGCAAAATTTGCCATTTTCCCCATTGGATTAGAACCTCATTTTCCCTATGGTGGCCATGTCAGATCACAATCAGCTGGGGTCTCCCGACATGATCCGTTTGGTAGCAGCTGCAGCTGCCATCGGGGCAACGTGTAGTTTTTTGAGCCGCCCAAAAGTTTGAGCCAACGCGTCTTGGACAGAGAGGGTCATTACCAGGGGATCAAATGTCTACCCAGGGCATCAAACATGGCTGGGAAATCCCCGAACTAAATGGACCTTTAATTGGGAAATTCATAAAAACTAATGAGAGATTTCCTTTTGCCATGTTTGATTATCAGAAAGGTATGCTCAAAATCATCTAGAAATATCAGGATGCCAAACAAACAGGCGCTTCGATTATCAACACTATCAACAAAACACGTGGATTGAGGTACCCCATTGGTGAACGCTCCCCGCTGGTTCGGCACCCGGCTCAGACATGGGGAAGAAAACAACGAAAAGGGATTGCAGTTGTTCATGTATACATGTGTTTCATGGCGTTTCATGGAAAAACAGCACAAAATCAATCTTGTTCGGATGTAGGATCACAGGAGTCGGATGGGGTAGCACTCTCTGGGCAGGACCAGAAGATGACCACCAGGTATCATCCATGGCTGGTCAAAGCCGAGCATGGTGCAACTCGAGGCTGTGTCGATGCTTAAATCTCCCAAGAGAAAAGCTACCCTGCGGCAAGTTTAGAATGGCAATAAAAACAAATGAACATCTAAATCCATTGATATCATATTAATCATAATATATATATATATAAACATGTATATATTTGTAAATATCTAATATGATGGTACTATTCCACGATTGCATATGTGGATCTCAAATTGGACTGTTGAATTACCCGCAATGAAAGCCAATATCAAGGGCACAACCAGGATGATCAAAGCATATGTCGTATATCATACATATATATATATATTGAAGTATCTAGCCAAGTCGCTTTCCATCCTAAATTCAGAATTGGTTGTATGAAATTCAGAATTGGTTGTATTCCATCCTAGAATCTTTCCATATGTATGAACATCCCAAGGTTTTTCAAAGGTCAAAATCATATGTCTTTTAAAAAGTGCAAAAACAAAAAAGCTGGTCTTAGCCTCTGGTAGTCAAACATGGCCCGCGAACAAAAAAAACACATTTATTTGGAAAACTCAGCAATTTCCATTTAGATTATATATTTACATGTGTATATATATATATATACTGTGTATGCATATATATATATCCATTTATTTCATTGGTTTTCCCATTAACAAAACATAGACTAGACCTGAATTGAGTTCGGGGATTTCTCAGCCTGCCAGGTGTTTCTCGCCACATGGCCGCCTGGATGTCGACACTTCCGCGCTTCGTTTCATGGCACCTGACGCGTTGTGCGGGAAGTGCCTGGCAAACCATTTAAGGAGAGACTTGACTTTGGATTGGATTGGTTTGTGAAAATAACCTATAGTTTGGCGAAAATTCATCACCTATAGTCACCTATTATCACCTATACCTATTATCGCCTATTAGATAATAGATGAATACGTTGTGAAAAAAAACACGTCACCTCCATTCACCTATATTCACCGATTATCATCTATTCAATCGGATTCAATCTGTTCATGGGATTGCCTGTGATTTTTCCTGTAAACTAATTCTGTGAAACTAGGAACAGTTGTTGTCGAAGCAAAACCTGGAGTGCATGGGTCATGTTCATTTGCTGTCTGGGGGAGAGGGTCAAACTTAATGTCCCCCTACAACTGGATTGGTCATTGCTACCCAATTTTGCCCCCCATCCATATGGTCTCATGGATTTTTCCATTACAAACCATCCATTTTGGGGTACCCCTTATTTCAGGAAACCTCCATAATTAATATTAATTAATCAATATAGATTTGCACGCATGTTGACCAAGTCATGCTTTTTCTTGAAACACTAAAGCCCGCAACATAGTTGCTTGCAACCAGCAATGAACACAGAATGACAGGATTGCCATATTTGTGGATATGGAGGTTTCTTGAAATAGGGGTACCCCCAAATCATCCATTTATAGATGGATGTTCCATGTGGAAATCCATTTGGGGGTACCCACATTTATGGAAACCCCCATATAAGATTGTAAAAGCCTGGTAAGTATGGACACCGCTTCCCTCTTCCGTATTTGAATTTGATCTGTGATCACAGCCGAAACGACGATATGGATGCAATCATCCAGCATGATATCGCGGACCAATAACATGTGGAATGGATGATTGATACTAAGAATTGCCAAAAGCTGCGGTCCCATCACTTTGGTTGAGTATTGGAGATGATTCGCAACATTCCCAACGCAGCCGCACCACCCAACGCAGCCACGCCTCCCAATGCGGAGCCGTGCGCTACAAGCAACGCTCGAACAGAGAGTTTTGGGAAGAATCAGAAAGCAAAGTGCAGTTACTAACTTAAGCATTAAAGTGAAAACTAACTTAAGCATTATGATAATTGATGTCCCTCTACCAACAGCATTGAAGCAACATTTATTGACTCTATACGAGTGGAGCCGTGTTGCTTGATGATGGATGTTTTGGGATGGTTACTGTTGATACTGTAATTACCATATCCAGATACCCGGCCTGGTAAACGTTAACAAAAAGCTATTGAAAATGGTCATAGAAATAGTGAGTTTTCCCATTAATAGCATGGTGATTTTCCAGTTCGCTATGTTAGTTTACCAAAGGGTAATGAAATACTACACAGTCTTGGAGATAGTTACCCCAATCGTATTCCCAATGGAGGTTCCTCACCAAGCTGGTTTTGAAAGGGGGGAACCCCAGGTGAAAAGGGCCAACTCTATATGTGCTTCATCTTACTATACTTAGACTTGGAAAGTGGATTATTCCCATCCCCCTATGTAATATGAAACACCTCAATCGTATGGTCCCAAAATCAAAAGTGTGTAAATCCCTTACAAAACCAGGGGTTTCTGGGGGGTGTTTATCGTTAGGGAGACACTATTACACATGCTTCTTTCTGTTGGGTAACTGTGATCGGGACCCACTTTCTGAGCAGGAAATGTTCATCCAGACCCATAATTCATCCTAATATAGTTCTATAGTATACATATATATTATATATATACATACATATACAAAAATATAAATGTCTACTTGGAAAGTGGCTGATCGTCCACTTTTTCTTGTTGGGCTCATCATTTTTCGGCGACCCGAAAACAACGCCAGGCCCGCAGCAGCGGCTCGAGCCATGAGATCCGGAAAGGTGGCACGGTGGGATCACTGACCTTTAGGGCCTGTCCCATGAAAATTGCCATGTTTCTATTCTATGGCAAAATGGAGTGGTTAAAGGGAAAATCTTAACCGGAAACCATGGTTTTTACCATCAAATATAGGGTTTTCCTGTAAAATTTCCCATCATCCAATTCTATGATCTATGGCAAAATGGTCTCTTGATTTTAATGTACATATGGTTTTCAGTAGATGGTTTTTACAGTATATATATATTATATACATACAGATGTCACTACCAATGGTAATTGACTAATCAATGGTGAATAGCAACGATATTCTAATGTTTATGGAGATTCTACTAGTGTAGTGGTACAGTAGTAGTTACACTAACATCTGGTAAACTAACATATGTATGAAACTAAACGGTATAGATACTCGTTGGTGGTTGAGCTTACCCCTCTGAAAAATGATGGAGTTCGTCAGTTGGGATGATGACATTCCCAATATATGGAGAAATAAAAAAAGTTCCGAACCACCAACCAGTATATATATATATACAGAGTATATGGTACCCCATAATGTATGTATGTATATACATGTTTGAACTTGTACAACATATGTTACAATGGCATTCATGATCGACATTGATCTGCTTTTGCTTGTTTCTGCAGCCAGCTCACATGGATCTTGTGAATTTCAGGAAAAACACATTCCGCTTTTGGCAAACTTCATATTAAGTGATGTTTGGTACCATTTCCAACAGATACCAACTAGATTCAGAAGATCATGGTTTCTTTGGGACTCATTTTCAGAAGCAACCTCTTGTAATGAAACATGGCAATAATTGAACATCCACCATTGAAATGCAAATGTACGGGGAATTGTTCATTGCCACGTCTAATTACCGGAGGGCACATGGACTGACAATGTGTTCCATGTTTGCTCCGTTCACCTAGTTTCACACATTGGATTTCCATTAGACCATTACTTCACCAGAGAATGTTTGTCCTTTGATGCATCTCAGGATTCATGATTCTAGCGTGCTGTCATTGATTGCCTGTTGTTCTTGCATTGATCAGAATCATGATGCCGGCATTGAGAATGAAGAACCCAGAATAAGAAAACACATGACATATGATTAATCATATTATCACTAATTAATCATTATTACTGTGTTCTGATATTATTTATAATCATGATCATTTATTGCAATTGAGAGTTGAGTGATTTACTCAGAACTATTATTATATATTCTGTTCTGTCCCGAGGTGTATCACCCACTTCTTGCTAGATCACCTCGACGAAATACCTGTAGAAATCTCTTGCTAATTCAGGGATACCCTCCTGTGTCGTAAAACATGGCTGCCTGGGAACCCTATATAAAGGGCCGTTCAATGGCCAAGTTTTTCATCGAAATTCATCGAAACAAATGAGATTTTTCAGCCCAAGTTTCAAGTACCAAAGAGAACTTGAGGAATATCATGCAACAGATGGTGCCCCCAAACGTGATGTGAACGTTGGTTTATATATATAAACCCCATGAATAAATAGTTCGTCAAATATCTGCCATAAACCATATAGGTTTCATGGGAGTTACTGTATAAACGCACCAACTCAGCACGCGATTTGCCTCACTGGGGCACCACCGCACGTGAAATCCCTATTTTTCACATCGTTTGGGGCCCCACCTTGTCACATAAAACCACGGTGCAGCACAAGGGGAGTGGTGGTACGTACCTTGTGTGTTCGAGGTTTAATGTCCTGGCGTGCGGAAAGTGCCATGCGGAAATCCCCGGCTGGTGCGTTTCCGTACGTAGGTGAAGGTGAAGATTCATACAGGATGGTGCCCCCTCAGTTATAAGTTGGTTTATAAACCCCATTAACTATAGTTATATCTGCCATAAACCATAGTTATGGGAGTTATAAACCAACTTAGCTAA